CCCATGTCACACCCATGACCTCTTTCTCTGCTGGTTATTCTCTTCATGTTTATGACTAGAAAATAAACTTAGCCTTTTTAGAAGGAAAAGGGTGTCATCAAGTTGTTTGTTTCACCAAATACACAAAAAAGAAAAAGACTCATTCAGAATGCATACTCTGGAACTTTGTAATAGGAAGGCACAATAATAATGTATTATGCTCACCAACCTGTACTCTAGCTCATCTATCCTCTTAGATGAGTAAGGAATGAGGAAACGGAGGCCCAAAGATAGTAACTATCACACAAAGTCACAAAGCCTGTAACTGCTATAGCTGGGACTTGACAAGGTCTCATGAACCAATAAATAACTTCACTTTACCATATTTTTAAGAATAGTTGGAGCTGGGTAGGGTATACAAAAGGGCATGAACCTGCTTTACTCAGGTCATCAGACGCCATAGTTAGAAGAGAGAATTAAATAGAAAATGACTGATATTTTCAGGGAGGGAGAGATGGAAAGAAGATACTGTCAAAGTCCTAAAGTATTTCTAAATGGGGTATTCAACCATCTAAAAGTCTGTCTATACTAACCTACTTAGTAAATACTCATTATTAGTTGTCATTTTTATAAACATTATAACAGTAATTCAAATCAAACAAAGCCCATACACATTATCAGCCAATTATGTTTTGTTCTTGCCATATGTCTTTTTTCCCCTCTTTTTTCAACATGAAATAAAATGGAGCACAAAGAATTGCTTGGGTAACGTGAGAAGGGTGCACATCTAATGGCCATATGTGGATATATATATATATATATATATATATATATATACTCAAGTGGGGAAGTAACTTGTCTCTCTCCCTATCCCTGGAGAGTATGATAAGCCAGGGTCTGTGAAGCATCTTCCAAAAATACCATGATAAAGCAAGCAAGTTTCAGGGAAACTCAATTTTAAAAATAGGAATAAAAATAATTCCTTAGAACAAAACTGTTTATGCTGAGTTTTCCTCCTAGAAGTCGATGTTCTGTTATTAAAGCCTTATCTCCAAGAGGAGCATTCCTAAACCCAAACTGAAAATATCACAAAAAAGCATAAAAAGAAAGTATAAAAAGACTAAGAATAGCCTCAAACTTTTGACATGTTCATACCGCTGTTAATTACTCTAAAGAAAATGTACAGGTAAGCCACAATGGGAGAACAGATGCAAGCAATCATAAAAATTACAAACTTTCACTGTACTACATCATACTAATTTGAGACAAGAATTGTTTTTGCAGAACACAATCTCAAGGCATGGCAAAAATATATCTATATTAAGTAACAACACTTACCAAACTGTTAATTTAGTTTAAGTATTTATTGTGTGTTTTTAAATATTTAATATTTTCAATATTATTTAGGTTAAACTTCAGCCTGTATATGAAGAAAATCTGTATATGTATTTATACTTTGTCATCTTTATCATCTTTGGGTCATTCTTCACTCTGAATCTATTCATTGGTGTCATCATAGATAACTTCAACCAACAGAAAAAGAAGATAAGTATTCCTCAGCCCTCGCTTTTCTCCATTCTGTGGTTCTCTCTGTTATATGCCCAGATAACCAGGATACTCGCAGTCATGACAGACTTGGATCATTTTGATGTTCTTTTCCACTCACAATATGGTCAATTCAGCGTCAGAGGATCCCACCCTCTAGTCACTGGCACCTCCCCAGGCTCATCCTCTACAGATCTGCTATAGTGTTTTTCTGATCCAAAAATGTGTCCACTGCTTCAAAACATCCAGTGGGCCACCAACGCTTTATCCTTGTTTACAGAGCCTTTCAGGAATTATCACCACCCAGTTTTCCAGCTTCATTTTCTCCCACACCATATTTTCTGTATCTATTTCCCTACTGCTCAGTCACCACCCACCCACCATCAACACTATCACTTGCTACACACACAGCTACATGAATGTTATGCCCTGTTCTAAACAAGCCATATTCTTACACCTCCATGATTTTACATAGAATAGTTTCTCTTCCTGGAATGCTCTGCTTAGCAAACCCTTAGTCTCCTTTAAGGTCTTAGCTTAAGGGTACTCTCATATATAAAGCCCATTTCTGAGTCTTGGAGTTGATAGTTATCTCTGCAGTACCTGTAGTGTTTTTTAAATTTTTTTTCATGTGGACACTGTGTCATATATCTATGTAAATTGGATACCTGATACATTGTCTAACACACAGGAAGAGCTCAAAAATTGTTAAACAGAGAAGCAAAACTGTGAACAGTGAAATGGACTAAGAAAACATTTTTTCTTTCATGAAAATATATTTGAGACCTCTGATCCTTCTTCTAAATATAATATAATCAAATTAAATCCTATACTAATCAGAGTTTTATGTGGTTATGGGTTTTCCATAATATTAAAGCACTCAGGATTTCACATAAATGGGAAAAGCAGAATAAATCTGTATGAAGCAGCGTAATATCAATTTAAATACTGAGAAAGGATTAAAGGAAAGACTCAGAAATATTTTTGTACAAGTGCTGTTGTAGCACATTGGGATTGTAACCAGTTTTATACTATGTCTTTACTTTGGAGGTCAAGACATCTTTATGACAGAGGAACAGAAAAAATATTACAATGCAATGAAGAAACTTGGATCCAAGAAACCTCAGAAACCCATACCTCGGCCAGCAGTAAGAATGACTCTTCTTTAACATTCGAAAGCCTTATTTACAGATGATGAAACTGGGCAGGGCTCTGATCAAAACACATTGGGTGATAACACCAATACGTAATATGCCGTAATTGTAAAGTTCATATTGTGTAAGACAATTCACAGCTGCCACATTCAATGAGAATTATAAGTTCTTTAAAAAGGGGCAATGCGGCTGGCCGAGTGGCTCATTGGTTAAGAGTTGGTTTGGGAGCGTGAGCTCTGAGCAGCAGGGCCACTGGTTCAGATCCCACATGGGCCAGTGATGCTGCATCATTTACAGCTAAGATGATGAACTACAGCTCAACCTGGAGCTGGGATGCCGTGAGTCGCCTGTGACAGCATAGGCTGCAGTAGGGCTGCAGGAGGCTGCCCTGAGCTACCATGAGTGGCTGGCAGCCAGCGTGAGTTTCCGAGGACCGCCATGAGCAGCCGTCCAATGGCTGGCAACCAATCTGCCTCAGCCAGGAAGAGTGCAATGATCACAATACCAACATGGGCCAGTGAAGTGACGTCCACAACTAGACTGAAGAAACAAAGGACAGCAACTTGTCTGTCCCCCTTCTCCAATTCCCCAATAAAATATTTTTAAAAAAGGGGGGGGGGCAACGTTCCTTACAGTTTGTCAGTTGAAAGCCTCCAACTCAGGGTTCCCAATAACTCTTTCCAAAGCAGGCTTCATGCACCTACTGCCACCCTACTGCTGCCAACATTGTGTCTGGTTCCTGCTCCTCTGATCTTACTATAAGTCACTCTCTTGTCCTTTTAGTAGATGGAGCTTTCCAGATTTCCCATGTCACACCCATGACCTCTTTCTCTGCTGGTTATTCTCTTCATGTTTATGACTAGAAAATAAACTTAGCCTTTTTAGAAGGAAAAGGGTGTCATCAAGTTGTTTGTTTCACCAAATACACAAAAAAGAAAAAGACTCATTCAGAATGCATACTCTGGAACTTTGTAATAGGAAGGCACAATAATAATGTATTATGCTCACCAACCTGTACTCTAGCTCATCTATCCTCTTAGATGAGTAAGGAATGAGGAAACGGAGGCCCAAAGATAGTAACTATCACACAAAGTCACAAAGCCTGTAACTGCTATAGCTGGGACTTGACAAGGTCTCATGAACCAATAAATAACTTCACTTTACCATATTTTTAAGAATAGTTGGAGCTGGGTAGGGTATACAAAAGGGCATGAACCTGCTTTACTCAGGTCATCAGACGCCATAGTTAGAAGAGAGAATTAAATAGAAAATGACTGATATTTTCAGGGAGGGAGAGATGGAAAGAAGATACTGTCAAAGTCCTAAAGTATTTCTAAATGGGGTATTCAACCATCTAAAAGTCTGTCTATACTAACCTACTTAGTAAATACTCATTATTAGTTGTCATTTTTATAAACATTATAACAGTAATTCAAATCAAACAAAGCCCATACACATTATCAGCCAATTATGTTTTGTTCTTGCCATATGTCTTTTTTTCCCCTCTTTTTTCAACATGAAATAAAATGGAGCACAAAGAATTGCTTGGGTAACGTGAGAAGGGTGCACATCTAATGGCCATATGTGGAAGAACTTCATCTGACAGATTGCTATCTATGAAATACGCATATGAACCTTCTCTCTCCTCTTTGTCTAGAACAAATTCCAAGGAATGGTCTTTGATTTTGTAACCAGACAAGTCTTTGATATCAGCATTATGATCCTCATCTGCCTCAACATGGTCACCATGATGGTGGAAACTGACGACCAGAGCAAATACATGACTCTAGTTTTGTCCCGGATCAATCTTGTGTTCATTGTCCTGTTCACTGGAGAATTTGTGCTAAAGCTTATTTCCCTCAGATACTACTACTTCACCATAGGCTGGAACATCTTTGATTTTGTGGTGGTGATTCTCTCCATTGTAGGTAAGAAATCCCTTAATCACAGAGAGGTACAGTTTGCAAATCCCCCAAGGCCTGTCATCTCTGTAAAAAGGAAATGAGATCTGAGAATTATAATGTGTGTAGACCTAAAGTTCAACACTCTTGCTCATTTTGCTCTATCTGAAGAATGTTTATATTCAAAAATAGAAAACAATATATATGGAGATTTCAGAAATAGCCTTTTTTATGCAATTGGGACATTTCAAATGTAAGGATAACTATTCATAGAAATTGGATGTGTATAATCTTGAATTATATCCTATTTGTGATTATTTAACTTGTTGGATTTTGTAAAAGTCCACATTGGTTTATAATATTATACAATAATTGTATAAAACTTTATCATCTTTTATTGCTGAATCAGGAAGATCTAAATACAGAGGGTGCCAAAGAAAGGGAGAACCTGTATTAAAATTGTAATACTCAATATATACTGATAACAAAATGTGAATATAAGTAATGTGTATACATATTTTTGGCACTCCCAGTATTTGGCAAAGGTTTATACTCATAATGAATGTTTTATTTTCATAGACCTTGCAAGGATATAGTATTCATATAAGCATATTAACTGTTTTGCTATTTTCCGTATTTTTCCACAGGCATGTTTCTGGCTGAGCTGATAGAAAAATATTTTGTGTCCCCTACCCTGTTCCGAGTGATCCGTCTGGCCAGGATTGGCCGAATCCTACGTCTGATCAAAGGGGCCAAGGGGATCCGCACGCTGCTCTTCGCTCTGATGATGTCCCTTCCTGCGTTGTTTAACATCGGCCTCCTGCTCTTCCTGGTCATGTTCATCTACGCCATCTTTGGAATGTCCAACTTTGCCTATGTTAAAAAGGAAGCTGGAATTGATGACATGTTCAACTTTGAAACCTTTGGCAACAGCATGATCTGCCTGTTTCAGATTACCACCTCTGCGGGCTGGGATGGTTTGTTGGCACCTATTCTCAACAGTGCACCACCCGACTGTGACCCAGACACAATTCACCCTGGAAGCTCAGTTAAAGGAGACTGTGGGAACCCATCTGTTGGGATTTTCTATTTTGTCAGTTACATCATCATATCCTTTCTGGTTGTGGTGAACATGTACATCGCTGTCATCCTGGAGAACTTCAGTGTTGCTACTGAAGAAAGTGCAGAGCCCCTGAGTGAGGATGACTTTGAGATGTTCTACGAGGTTTGGGAGAAGTTTGACCCCGATGCCACCCAGTTTATTGAGTTCTCCAAGCTCTCTGATTTTGCAGCTGCCCTGGATCCTCCTCTTCTCATAGCAAAACCAAACAAGGTCCAGCTCATCGCCATGGATCTGCCCATGGTCAGTGGGGACCGGATCCACTGCCTCGACATTTTATTTGCCTTTACAAAGCGTGTTTTGGGTGAGAGTGGAGAGATGGATGCCCTTCGAATACAGATGGAAGACCGGTTCATGGCATCGAACCCCTCCAAAGTCTCCTATGAGCCCATCACCACCACTTTGAAACGCAAACAGGAGGAAGTATCAGCTGCTATTATTCAGCGTAATTTCAGATGTTATCTTTTAAGACAAAGGTTAAAAAACGTATCAAGTAAATATAATAAAGAGGCAGTCAAAGGGAGGGTTGACTTACCTATAAAAGAAGACATGATTATTGACAAATTAAATGGAAACTCCACCCCAGAAAAAACAGATGGGAGTTCCTCTACCACCTCTCCTCCTTCCTATGATAGTGTAACAAAGCCAGACAAAGAAAAGTTTGAGAAAGACAAACCAGAAAAAGAAAGCAAAGGGAAAGAGGTCAGGGAAAATCAAAAGTGAAAAGAAAACAAAGAATTATCTTTGTCACCAACTGTTTACAGCCTACGAAGGTAAAGTCTATGTGTCAACTGGACTCCCAGAGGAGGTCTATGCCAAACTGACTGTTTTAACAAATACTCATGGTCAGTGCCTATAACAAGACAGTGACCTCTCCGTCACTACAACTCTGTGAGTCAGGGTATCAACATCGACAAAAGGTTGCTGTTTTCATTACCAGCTGACACTGCTGAGGAGAAACACAACAACTACCTAGACTGTAGGATAGTTGTGCAAAGTGATTGCTGTAACTACACCAAACACCTTTAGTACAGTACTTGCATCCATTCTATTTTTAACTTCCATATCTGCCATATTTTTACAAAATTTGTTCTAGTAGATTTCCCTGGTCACTAATTCATAGTTTATTCATAATACTATGTCACTATTTTTGTAAATGACATTTAAGTTGAGAAAAAAAAGGATATAAGAGCCCTGTGTTCCTACTCCAAAACTTTCTCAAATAATCAAGACAAAAATGTTTTGTCTGAGAGATAAAATTTTTTCTCAAAACCTGAAATAAAATGCTAATGTCAACAATTTCAGGTACTTCCAGTTTCTAGATAACTTTAATTTTGAAAGTGTTTTAGTCTATTTTGTTTGTTTATATCTGAACAGTTATGTGCCTGTAAAGTTTCCTCTAATTTTTAAAGGATTATTTTTATGCAAAGTATTCAGTTTCAGCAAGTGCAAATTTTATTCCAAATTCCAGAGTTCTATATTTAATTTTGGTTAAATGCTTTCCAAAAAAAATAATCTAATAAATTTGTTCTAGAAAGTATATCTAATGTATCACTTTAGAATAGCTGTTCTACTTTCTGCTGCAGTATTGCTTTGCCATCTTCTGCTCTTAGCAAAGCTGACACTTTATGTCAATTAAACACCTTCTGTTATGTAAATAGTTATTTTATCCTGTGGTGCATGTTAGGGCAAATATATATATATATATGTATACATATATAAGTATATATACAGCCTGATAAACAACTTCTATTAAATCAAATATGTACCACAGTGTATGTGTCCTTTGCAAGCTTCCAACAGGGATGTATCCTGTACCATTCATTAAACATGAATAGTTTGAGTCTATCACTAATGCATGTTAATATTGCCTATGCTGCTCTATTTTACTCAATCCATTCTTCATACGTCTTGTTTAGCAGTCACATGTTGGTGGTAGAGTGAATTCAACAAGCTCTCTGTCTAGTATGTCAAGCAGAATAGCTTGCAGTTATTTTAAAGCACTTTTTATTCTGCATTTTTAATTTGAGTATCGTATGTTTCTCCAGATTTCAAGGAAATACACTGTACTGCCTGTTGTCAAATCTTATACTTCATATTTTGCTAAAAATATGTCCCAAACTTGTTTAAATATAAATAATGTAAAAATATGATCAATTTTATTTGGCGCAGTTTGTACATAAGAAAATTATTTTCAGGTTGATGACATGGCAATTTATTTTACCTTATGCATTTGCTTTTTATTTTTAATCACAACTCCAAACTTTTGAATCCATAAGACTTTTCAATGGATAATTTCCTAAAATAAAAGTTAGATAATGGGTTTTGTGGATTTCTTTGTTATATTTTCTACCATGCCAATAGGGGATATATTGGTCAAAAACTCAAACCTAGATAACTTTCTATCAACTATGGTTGTCTCAGTATAACCCTTTATTCATGGAAGGTGTTTTTTTTTTTTTTTACTCAACTTTTGTAGTATTTGCTTATGCAGACTAGTCTTATTTTTTTAATTCCTGCTGCACTAAAGCTATTAGAGGTAAAACATGGACTCTGTCCTTTCTAGCCATGAACAAAGTGGCACAGTGTGCAATTACCTAACATGATATACATTTTTTGTTTTTTGCACATACCAAAAATTAAATGTTAATTCACTTTACAAAACTATTTACTTGTAGTGTATTGATGAACTGCATGCAGGGAATTGCTATTACTAAAAAGAATGGTGAGTTACGTCATTATTGAGCCAAAAGAATAAATATTTCATTTTTTATTGTATTTAATTTCTTGGCCTCTGGTTTTTTTTATTGTTGGAAGTTTAAAAACATATATAATTATTGAAACCTGTACTTGATCTGACATTTCTATACATAAATTTCCATTTGCATTTTATAACAACCTAGTGCATGATCCACTAAGCAGTACTACAGAATAAAGGCTATTAAAGCAGTTGCTGTGAACTTTTGTGTGTGCAAAGGATCAGACACACCTGTTCTAACTTGCAGGTCCAATAACAATAATAGCATCTACAATGATTATCAATTTAAATCAAATTACCTTGGCTGTTAACATTTTAATCTCAACTCCTCTCAATGTAATTGATACCATCTCCAAATTTCTAAGTACTTAATAAATATTATACACTTTGTTATTTAAATAAATCTTATGACCTATTTACAGCTAAAGTATGCATGACGCAGTGATTGAGGACTTATGCGAATTTTTTTTCAGGGTCCCTTGGATTTATGTCAGGTCAAAACCAAACTTCTATTCTCAGTGGAAAACTCCAGTTGTAATGCATATCTTTTGAAGATGACTTGCATCTAAATATGCATTTCATATTGCCCCAACATAAATGATATAAGGTGACTTAATTGGAATGTATTGGCTTCTTTCTGCTCAGCTCAATTTTCAGATCTTGCCAATACCACAGAGAAGACAAGTATCACTTTGCAAAATCCTTAGCCTTTTAATGTATCCTATTATATAATCATTAGCCAAGCAATCTATTAATTGATATGCTTTATATCTAAATGATCATCTTAGAAAATAGTCGGAAGAGTTAAGATACTTTTTAAAACATTACTCAGATAACTTTAAATAGACAGAAACACAACATTTGGCCTTGACTTTAGCCCCATTAAAAGCCTTCTTGTTCTCAAAAATTTTATACCACAAAGTTGAAGGATGCTTTAATAACTGAAAGGATGGCTATTATTTCTTCTTTTTTCTTCTTTGTGATCTTACAGATTTCTAAGAGACAACACATGATATATAACAGAAGAGACTGAAACAAATAAATTATTAACCATTTGTAAAATTGTCTCTAACCACAAGTTACTGACTTCCTGATTAATAATTAACATTTGCCACAAAACTTCAAGAAGTTGGGCTTAAGCTTTGTATTCCCTAGAGTACTGTTATTATCACAAAAGAAAAAAAGATGCACATCATTCTTTTACCTTATAATAACATCTAATATGTTTTATTCTTTTCACAAGAAAAAGGATAATTTTATGCATCCAAACATTTGTTGTTACTCCTAAGGGTCCTTTTGGTGGCAGTGTCTCTCCTCGCCTCTCCTCCCCAGTATCATCACTCTATCCTCTGTACTATTGCCAGTTGACATACTGAAGTGCACATCTGACAACTTCTAAACCTGACAGCTCCCTACTGATGAGAGAATCAATTTCCTCTTCTTATTGTGGAGTAAAAGAAACAAAATATTCTGGATAATCAGCCCCTCACATATCCCACTACTCTCATTTATCATTGGCCACCATTCCACAACTCATGCTCCTTCCCGCACATAATCACATAGTTGCCAATTACACAATGTTTTGATATTTCTCCTGTCTCGGCACATGCTACTCTCTTTGCCTGAAGTGTCCTTCCCTCTCCTTTTTTTCCCAGCAAAGCAATGCTCATTTTTAAAGAACTGGTTCAAATATCATCATCTTTAGAAACTTCCTCAGATTTCCCCACGTAGAGTAAATTATTTCTCCTCAGACCTCCTATGATAGTATGTATTACACTACGCTGTATTACATCCTTTGCATTCACCTCTTCTAAAAGATTGTAGTAGATCCAAGGTATGGGATGCAACTCATTACTTTTTTTTACCCTTCTTTCCTTTATCAGCAATGACAGGCAGAGCATCAGCGACTATCAGTATTGATAGAATTGGTTCTTGTAGGAACACAAAAAATATTTACGTGCCAAACGAGTAACTGTTTTTCAGACCTTACTGAGAATGAGCTGCACCCGAGCTGAGCTGCTGCTGAGCTGGTGAGAGCATGTGCTCTTAGCATCAAGGTTACCAGTTCAATACCCATATGGGATGGTGGGCTGCCTGCCCCCCCCCTCCCCCTGCAACTAAGATTGAACACGGAACCTTGAGCTGAGCTGAGCAGCTGCAAGCTGCTGATGGGCAGCCAGATGGTTCAGTGTGCAACAATGTTGCCAGTTCAACTCCCACATGGGATGGTGTGTTGCATCGCACCCCCTCACCCCCCAGCCCTTGCAACTAGATTAAAAGTGGCCGACTGGACTTAGAGCTGAGCTTGCACCTTCCACAACTAAGATTAAAGAACAACAACTTGACTTGGAGCTGATGGGTCCTGGAAAAACACAATGTTACCCTTCCCCAATTCCCCAACACTGTTCCCCTCCCTAATTCCCCAATAAAAATTTTTAAAAAAATTTCTTTCAAAGATATATGTGGAAAAACAAATTGAATAAAAATGTTAAAACTAATATAGGAGGAAAATGAAATAACAATATTAAATAAACTCAAAAGCATGAGAAGAAAGTAAAATAGGAAAAATAAGGTAAATAAAAAGTAAAAAATTACCTGTGGAAATTAATAATAGTCAGAATATAGTGAGTGGACATAAAAACCTAAAAGGACAAACAATCACTGTTTATAATTAAAAGCTTCACCTATTGGACACATAAATATCCCTGCAGCAACATTTGAAAAACTCTCATGATTTTTTTCAAATGCACATCACAGTTATTAAAATGCATTAAATAACAGACCAAAAAGCAAGTGTCAAAAAATTTCAAAAATTGACATCATACAGACCACACCATGTTCTCTAATTTGAATGCAATTAAATTAAAAATCTAACTTTTTGAAATACATTTGGCGTCTTAGTTCTAAATGTGGATAAAAACAAAAAGCTTTAGTTCCTGAGGAGACTGACTTTATTTGGAACAGAAAGCATAGAACTCCAAGTCTAAGGGTGTTATCGAAAACCAAAGAGATTTTGGTGGACATTAAGAGGAGGCTAGTAGGTCCATGTTACAATCAAAACAACAGAGCAGCCAGAACTATAATAACATGAACCGAGGAATGAGAAGCCAAAAAGAGCCCTCTTAAGGTCACAGCCAATTCTGTGGGTCAAGAAGGTTGTACATGCATTAGGCCTCATTCACTCAAGAGAAATCAGAACAAGACATGGGGCAGGCATAAAAACACTCCCCAGATGCGCACAAACCCATCTTACAGGATGGCATAAGGCTCAATTGCATGAGAGGTATAAATGCAATCTCTGACTAAACAGTGACTGAACAACAAACCATTCTAACCCAAGGGTGACTCAGAATGCCAGGATTAAAAATAAATTCGGATTCGTCTCCAGCAGTCTGAAAGACTGTGTACATGTCCAAGGTTGTACTCCCTTAGATGCAGGGAATTCAAAGCTACTATTCCCTGACTGAACACAGGATCCAAAACCCAATCTTCCTCAACTGTGATATCAGCCTCCAAGCCACACACACACATCCAAAGGCAGAGAGTCAAAATCTAACTGGATAAGGGGGCTTAAGCACAACCTTTGACCAGTAAGTGGCTAATGCTGACCCAAGGGGAACACTAAGGTATCCAGGCTAAGATAGAAAAATAAAGGAAAATAATCTGAGCAGGAAAATCAGAGATTGAACACTGTAGAGAAACAATACAAAATTAGTTCAGCCAAATCACTAAACAAATTAAGCAAACAATAACAACAATAATCTTGGAGGGTTAGCAGGATCAGAAATTCTAGAGTTGAAAAACAATAATGACAATAAAATATTTATTAGAGGGATCCGGCAGTGAAGTTGAACTGGCAGAACAAAGGGAGCAAAATTGAGGATAGACTGATAGAGATTACACAATCTGAAGAACAGAAAGAGAAATAAAATGAAAAAAAAAATAAACAGCCTCAGAAAAATGTGAGACACCATAAAGCACACCAACATATGTGTAATGGCACTGCCAAAAAGAGAGAAAGAAAGAACATTTGAAGAGATAATGGCTAAAAACTTTCCAAATTTGATCAAAAACATTAATCTACACTTCCAAGACACAAGAATTGGCAAACACATGGAGAAATTGGAATTCTTGCACATTGTTGGCGGGAATGCAAAATGGTGTAGCTGTGATGGAAAACAGTATAAAGGTTTGTCAAAAAATTAAAAGTAGAACTTCCATAAAATCCACCAATCCCACTTCTGGTTATTTATCCAAAAGAATTTAAGTCAGGATCTCAAAGAGATACTATCACTCCCATTTTCATCATAGCACTCTTCAAAATAGTCAAGATGTGGAAACAACCTAAAAGTCTATCTGTGATGAATAGATAAAGAAAATGTGGTATATACATAC